TTTTTGAGAGAAATAGTTACTATTTAAAAAATAATAAAACTTTTTTATATAGATATATATATATAGATTACACCCTTATATTTTTTATTGTATTNATATTTATTCTCCATTTTTTTCTTTATAAAAATATTTATTGCTCCATACAAAAGTACATCAATTGTTTGTATTTTATCATACACCAAATATCCTCCAAGACCTGATTTTTTTCTTTCAAAGATTATGGCTAAAATTTTTGAGTATTTTTCAATCGCACGATCTGTTTTTTATAATAACATTTATTATATTTTTATATACTTTGTGATTCATATTATTATTTATTAAGTATAAATTATATGCTTTTTCTTGTCAAATAATATGAATATTAGTATATAGAAAATTTTGAAATAATTGTCTCTCTGAATAACATAGTATATTTATATTTTAAAAATTAATGCTATACTTAAAATTTGCGTATTACAATGATACAATATTCCACCATTTCCTTTGTAAATTGGAGTAACATGTTTCATTTGTCACTAACTTCATACTCCATTTTTCAATGTATAACTTATTTAAGTAATAATGACATATATTAATTATAGTTTAGGCGGGAAAAACTTTTTCTTTCATATGCTTCACTTTTATATATATATATATAGATATATATATGGATTTAAACACAACGTTTGGACAATGAGAGAAAACGACGAGTCTCTCCAAATCCCGCAATCTATCAGTGCAAGGAAATACTTTCCTTTGTTCAACTTTCTGAAAATTTCCTTGTTTTTCATTCCTTCCTTTTTCTACAGTTTATTTATAAATATCTTCCTTAAAACCCATCTTTACTAGTTAATTTGCGTGTGATTCAACTCTTCAGGACCTGAAATTCGTAAGTACATACAAACTTTTTATCTTCTCTGTTTTAACTTTTTTCTTCTTTTCTGATTATCTTCTCTCTTTTTTCTTCTTTTTTTGATTTCATAGCTTAACTTAGATGGTGAAAAAATATCAGATAAACAATTTTGCAGCTCTAGGAAGAATTTAATTTAAATAAATAAATAATCTAAAATTAGTGTAATTTAATTCTTAAATTTATCATGGGAACGTTTCGCAACGGACACCACCCATTGAATTCCCATATCACAAATATATTTCTCTCAACTTCCCAGCAAACCTCCGGCAACAATTTCCACCAAGTAAATTACAAATTACTTCAGGTAATACTTTTCGTTTTTTTTTTTCCTCTGGTATTTAAGTTATCAATACGAATTCATCTTACTCGAATTCAATATCCATAACATGAATCACAAAACAAAGCAAATCTCGACTAATTCATCCGTAGAACCAAAACTTACCCCTTGGCCCAAAAAAGAAAATCTTAGTTCCCAACCGTCGGATGCGGGCTCCTGCCGAAGGATTTGTCGATCATGGAAATCGCAGACCTCGTTTGGAGTACTTTCAATTCTCGGAATTGTTTTCCAGGCCAATGGGAAATTGAAATAATTTAGGGATGGTTTAGTGGTGTTTGAGTGTGTGCGAATTTTAAAGCAAACTTTGGTGTAGTTTATGCGTCCGTGTTGCAGGAGCAGGAGCGTTAGGTCTTTGGGAAAAGTTTGTGAGTTATTTGGTGGAAAGTGAGAAATAAAGTTGGGCGAAGAGTTATATTGGGCCAGGAAATGTGTGATTTAGGCCTGAAATGTGTAGTGTTGAGTTGGCTTGTATTCCTCACTTCTAACCTTAATCCGTTAGAAAAAAAAGTCTAAATTCATTCATTCTACTCAAATTCCAAACCTTAAACTCTAGCCATCTGGAGTTGAAAATATTAATATTAATTTTATTTATGTAATTTCAGAATTTATATTTTCTCTAAAGTTGTTATTTTGCACATTGTATTTATGATTGATAGTGTGAAATATTTATTCCTTAGACATTCATTCACGTACTATTTGATCGAGGTGGGTTTATTTTCCAAACTAAATTTATTACATGTTTCGGATAAATGTTTCATTTTTGTTGTCAAATTATTATATGATCCCCATGCCAATGTAACCTTTGGGCTCACCATTGTTACCTTCGTATTTGAAATTTATGTAGCCTTAGGCTTCACCGATGCAGCCTTCAGGCTCGAAATTATATTATAGGGTTCACCAATGCATTCTTCGGGCTCGAAATTATATTATGCCAGTCTGTGTGTTAATTTGCACGTAAAACATGTTGAGAATCATAGAACATAAAATTTTATTATTTGATGATTATGTATCCTATTTTATTTTATTTTATTTTTTTTGTCTAAAAATATTTTCAGGTTGACGGAGCCGGTGTTGGAGAAAGTAGTCGCCGTCTTATGATGTTTACTTGGTTTTATTTAAAATTCTTTAACATGATTTTTCATTTGAGATTTCGAATAATTCATTTTCTTTGAACTAACTTGTTTTGTGTTCTGAAACATGAGTACGTGAATTCAGAAAATATTTGTTATGTGTTTATTTGTTAAAGTGTTTATTTCAAATGGCAGCTATTGTCACCCCTAATTAATTTGCATGTTTTCCGCTGTCTCCTGGGATTGTTACAGTAGGAAATCTTATGCTAAGTCTAACTTAGGAAAATAAGTTTTGAATTGAAAGGAATAATAAGGAAATAAATATGCTTTCTAAAGAAATTTAAGATTTCGAGGCTGAAGCCTCAAATTTTGATTTGGAAACTCATATTGTAACGTGCAACTATCTTTGTAATCTTTATATAGTTTCCTTTTATCAAGATTGTGCAAATACTTATTTTGCTACTCGTTTGTTTCTTTTAGGGGCACATTAAAACCCAAATCCCTTTGTGCGTCAATCAAATTAGAATCGACCCGTTATAGTTTTTCACTTTTAGACCTGCTAGGCAGACTTAGCAAATTTAAGAAGATAATGATGGAAAAAACCCGAGTTTAAGAATGAAGTCGAGATACGAGGATTGGATGTTTCCTTTTTTTGTTTTTTTTT